CCTTTATTTAAGAAAGTCTGTAAGGAGAAGCCTGGGAACTGTAGTCTCATGAGCCTGACATCAGTGGTGGGTCAATTGTTGGAGGGGATTCTGAAAGATGGGATTTACATGCATTTGGAAAGGCAAGGAATGATTAGGGATAGTCAGCATGGTTTTGTGCGAGGGAAATTGTGCCTCACAAATTTGAATGAGTGTTTTTGAGGATTGACAATTTTATTTGAATATATTCCATCTTCAAACTTCCACTACTGGTCACTTGGCACTTACTTGGCAAGGCTAACTGGAATGTTGTCAGGACCCTCATTCTCCAATTGAATCACACTTGATTGTAAAACAGCTTTACACGGTCTTTGCTACAGAATTCAACAAATATGGTGCTCAGATAGGGCTTTTGGCGAAGATGCATATCAGATCCTGGAATTTTTTAAAGGACACATTAATATTTGGAGTTAGGGTGAACAAACATTGTTTTAGAATGTTGAGCTTTATTTAGAATCTTGCGGATTGTTTTAGCCGCTGTGGTGAAATTTGTCACAGCAGTCAAAACATAAGCATCATTTTCAGTTCAGGTGGTTGGATTAAGCCTCCTCAATGAAATGGAAGCTCTTAATAAAAGTACTTGCTTTTCAGCTTTGTAGTTATAGAACATCTATCAAGCAAAGAAAAACCTCAAGGAACAGTTATGCTAAAGTAGTAATGCTGAGTTAACACAGGTTAGTCGAGTTATGTGCTTCACTGAGTACCCTCTTCACCGGTTACTGGAGGTTAAAGCCTTCAAAAAAAAATGCAGGCAAAACAGATTTCCTTTCACGGCTGTATGACTTTCCATCCAGTTTGCTCACAAAAGAATCCCGCACTTCACAAGAATTAAGGATGGTTGGAAAACCTTGATGAGTATTAACACATTTTATATGTATATGCAATAATGGAGAAAGCCTAAATAGTTTACACCTAAATTCAATCCTGATCTTACGTACTATCCAGAGACAACACAGTATGGAGCTGTGCTTTCATAGTTCTGAAATTTTTTATCCGTTTTAGGGCAGTGGCATCTCAGTCATTATTCTGCCCCTTATTTAGGCCAGACAGCATCAGAGGAACAGGAAAGTTGAAGTTTAGGGTCAGGACCCTTCTTCAGAAATGTCAACTTTCCTGCTCATCTGATGTTGCCTGGCCTGCTGTGTTCTTCCAGCTCCATACTGTATTATCTCTGACTCCAGCATCTGCAGTTCTTGCTATCTCACCTACTATCCAGGTCTTCAGCATAATCTCTGAAGTGGCCATCAGACAATTTATCCTGAGGTTAATCACTCTCTAATTTAGATGCACTAGAAACCAACTATAGCATGAACACTCCCCCAAACAGAGATGAGCTAATTCAGCACAGAGTCAGGAACAGAAATGGTTCATTTGACATGGTTAATTCACCAAATAAACTCATTTAATAGTTGGGAAAAGCTGTGCTTTACCTTTTAACAGTAATTTTGTGACAAAAAATTAACATACATGATGGTTTACTATGTAACTGTACTCTGAATACCACCGATTAGGAAAAATTCCAGATTCAATGCACTATGTTGCTGATTGGCTTCAACTGGGCTAACTGAGCCAGGGGCTGAGTTGTTGAAATAGCTGCCTTTGGGCTAAGGAGGGTTAAACCTGCTTTTGATCATTTTCCTGTGACATCTATTGTATTGGTGTCCACTGCTCTGAAAGGTGTCACATGATAGTGATTAGGTAAGGGCAGGATTCGGTTTAGCTGTGAAACTTTTGTGGTTGAGTAGGTTTATGGAACTGATTATTTTAGCAAAACTTTGATGTTGTGATACTTCACCAGCAATGAGATATGCCCATGTACAAAAGCTCTCAAGCTTAAACATTTTGAATTATAAACATAATCCATCAGTTCCTGGTGTAAATAAAGCCAGACATTAGTATAAATTCAGTAAATAAGGGGCAGAATAATGACTGAAATGTCCTGCCCTTAAATTGATAAAGCATTTTAGAACTATAAAAACACTTTAAAAATAACCAGCTCAAAATGGATCAGGAACCACAAGTTCAGAACTCCACTTGCAAGCTGAATGGAAATAATTCACAAAGCAATTGCCCAAACTCCTTTCAATTTACCATTCGTTGCTCGCAATGTAATCTCTCCACAGGTCCAACTGAAGGCACAATTAGCAATTTTGGAGTGAAGAAAATCGGGAAAAACAGGATTATAGAAGAGCAGATAACCTGTGAAATGGTAGTATGTATGGTAAGTATGAGCTTTAGGTTCCAGATTGGTAGTGGGTGGGCCAGGTCCTAATGTTAGAAGTATGCCAGGTAATCAGTGGGGGATAGATGGACAGATTTTTAATTGGTAATATGTTGAAGAGATGTGTAGAGCAGGCAGGAAAGTGGATTTGAGGACAAGATAATCTAAATGAAGAGAAACTTCAGAGTACTTCAGTGCAGAGGGATCTGAGTGTCTTTGTGCATGAATTACAGAAAACTATTATGCAGGAACCGCATGTAATAAGGAATGCAAATAGCACTTACCATTTTCTTGCTAAAGGAACAGAGTAGAAAAATAAGGAAGTGTTGCTGCAACTATACGAGACATTAGTGAGATCGCACCTAGAGTGTTGTGGACAATTTTGGTCCCCTTACTTGAGGTGGGATGTAGTTGTGTTGGAGACAGTTCAGAGCAAGTTCACTAGGTTGATTCCAGAGATGAGGGTTTGTTAATGAAGGAAGTTTGAACATTTTAGGCTTATACTCTATGGAGTTTAGAAGAATGAGACGAGATCTAATTGAGGTATATAAGTTGCTAAAGGGGTTAGACAAAGTAGACATAGAAAGGATGTTTCCTCATGTGGGGCGATCTAAAAGTGGAGGCCATAGTTTTAGGATAACAGGTAGCAGCTTTAAAAGAAAGATGAGAAAGTATTCCTCTCAAAGGATTGTGAATCTGTGGAATTCACTATCCCAGAAAATGGTGGATGCTGGCATGTTCTGTAATTTTAAGGAGGAAACAGACCAATTTTTAATTACCAATCGGTTGAAGGGTTATGGAGAGCAGGCAGGGAAGTGGAATTGAGGATGACATGAGATCAGTTATGGTTATATTAAACAGCAGAGCTGGCTCACATGGCTGAATTCTGTAATTCTTCTACATCAGTGGCTGTAAAAGTGACCATCAACCTAAATTTCTTAACTCTGGATTTTTTTTCCCTCAACAAATTGCAAGGAAAAAGCATATCCAGGGGTATACCTGTTAGCTTCACATAAATGTATAGGGTCAGATCATGGATACCTGACTTACTAGGGCTGACAGTTACATAAGTTTCTGGTGTTCAAACTTAATTTTAATGAGGGTCTTAAAGAGGGAAAAATGTTTTGTGGTGCAGTGGGTGGAATTCCAAGTTCTGGGCCAGAAACTCCAGGTTGAAGTCCATCAGGACTTATTGGAAGGTGCATTCGTAGCCCACCCAAACAGGCTGATTGTCAGCCTGTAACTCTTCCCAATACGCCTAGTGGGAAAGCTTGCTGATTAACCATCCTTTGGAAGGCTGTGGCAAACCACTGCAGAACTTTGGCAGTAAGCACGGACCAATCCATTAAAGTCCAGGGGTTCAGCCTTGAAAGTAAGGATGGAGGCATTTTAAAAAAAAACAGTTTTAAAGGGGGAAAAATGAGATAATGGGGTTGAGAACTTTTGGGAAGAAATTCCAGAACCAATAGTAGAGATGTATTTCATGTGCTGAAATATTCAGATCCCGCTGAAGTTATAATGGATGAAGAAAGGGTGATGTGAAAATACCAGCATTACCTGGTGGCTGGTCTCATAATGCTGTTTCTTCAGAGTTTCACCAGGGTTGGGGCTGTGGAGGTGGAGGTTGGACATGAGAATCCACCAATCCATTGACAGCAGCAATTAGGATTGTTAAGAAACTCACTGAGAGCTTATTAGAGGCCAGTTCTGATTTGAGAATGGTACATTTGCTTCCTCGGGAAGACCAAGGGAATGGAGATTGGCAAACAGCAGGAAGCCAGTAGTGTGTTGCCTAGAAAATGATGCATGCTTATGAAATGATTGGGGGGGGGTCTTCCCCTCTGTTCCTGCTCTTGTATTGCAAAGGTCCACCTAGATAACTTGGGTGGTATCCCTTGTGAAGCTCAGGTGTAGTGACTGCTCCTGAGCATGGGTACTGAACTTGGAAATGGTTCTAGATTTCCAGTTCCTGCTTCAGAGGGAAAACACTGCCAAGCAACTCAGCAAAAACAATCAAGCCAGGATGAAGGGTCTAGGCCCGAAACGTCAGCCTTCCTGCTCCTCTGATGCTGCTTGGCCTGCTGTGTTCATCCAGCTCCACACCTGGTTATCTCAAGCCAGGATGCACCTGGTTCTGCACAACTTAGTTGCTCAATAGATAAAGTTGTTAATCCAGATCATCTCACATTAGCTTTCCTTCCGTCATTTTACTCAATTCAACTTCTGTTAAAGTTGCCTTCATTGTCTCAAATAGCTTCAGTGAGTTGTCACCTTTTTCTAGTAACTGGAGGTTCCAGCTTCCCTCTGAACTTTTATTTAAAAATAGTTTCCTTAACATATTAGCCAGTTTATCCTCTCGAACGATAGAGTCAAGGATTTTTCCCCCAGTATTTCAACCAGAACGGTGGCAGACTTGCAGTGGGATATTTGGCAAAGCACTTGAATGAAATGAAGTTGAAAGCATTCGAAAAAAACATGTCGTGAAAGGTTAGAGTGGGCGGTGTAGAAACCCATAGGTAGGGTGCACACTTTGGGGACAGCTTGAAGCACGAATTGTTTAATTTTGTAATTCAATATCAAAAGCAAGATGTTGGAGATATATGACACAGAGTGATAATACAGATCTCCTCCTTCCCTGATGTTTGCGGGGAGCTGCAAATTGACTCCTTCCTCACCTTTAATTGGTCGCTTTTAGAAATAGGGCGGCTGGGAGGGGTGGTTTAAATAGTTGGAACCGGTTTCACTGAAGGCTTGAGCAGAGAGACAGACACACACACGCTGGGAAGATGGGGAGAGATAGGAGTGTGGCCAGCTGGCTTTTGCTGATAGCCCTTGCTGTGCTGTTGTGCTGCCTGGTAGCTCTGAGCTCAGCGAACGAAGGGCACTCGGACAGTGATACTGAGCACGGCGAGTCTCACGGGGGCAATGAGACGAGCTTTCACATAGTCACCTTTCGCTGGGAACATGTCCAAGCCCCCTATGTTATCGCACTGTGGATTCTCGTGGCCAGCTTGGGTAAAATAGGTGAGTGATGGGGTATTGTCTGAATGGAAACGTCCTGGAGACATTTCCTTTTTGGACCTGTTTTTTTTTTCTCTCTCTCTTTCTCTGTGGATCTGGGAACATGCAGATATTGTCTGGTTATGCTGGAATGTGAGGTATGCATGTGCCTGTGCCCTGAATCCCTTTGACTGGTGTTGGAGAGAAGGGCTTTCCCACCTTCGAACCTAGTCAGTAAAGATTCCCCGCCGTGAGGTTATTGTGATGCTGTCAATTTGATGCTTGGATCACTGGCCGAAAAAAAAGTGGATTTGGGGGTGGGGGAGTCGATCAGGATGATACCTGGGCTGGCTGGGAGACTTTGCACGTCGAATTGTATGAGTCAGAATAGGTAAGTGTCACCCAAAAAATCAGTTTTTTAAAATTTTTTTTTATTTAAAAAGGACCTATTAAGCCAGTGTTACTTTAAAACATTGTTTGATACTTAGTCATGGCACTCCTGTTATTTTATACCAAACCTTAGGCTGACACTCCAGTGCATGTAAACAGTGCTGGAGGTGCTGTCTTGCTACTGGGTGCTTTTTTGGGAAAGATTGGTGGAGTCATCCCAGTTTCTTGGTCAGTATTTGGATGGCATAGTGGTTGGCACTGCTGCCTCATTGCACCAAGGACATGGGTTTGATTCCAGCCTCTGGTTCCTTCCTGTGTGGTGTTTGCACATTCTCCAAGTGTCCCTTTATTCTCCCATAAAAGATGTGGAGGTTAGATGGATCAGCTGTGCTAAATTCCACGTTAAGCCTAGGGAAGTGCAGGCTAGGTGGATTAGCCATGGGAAATGCAGAGTTACAGACATAGTTTCGGGGAGTGCCTTTCACAGGGTTCGTGCAGATCTGATGGGCTGAAAGGCCTGCTTCCACACTATGGGGATTCTAGGATACTGTAGTTATCTCTCAGCCAACATTGCGTAAAAGGAGGAAAAAAAAAGATATTTGTGGGACTTTGCGCTTCAGTTGGCTACTTCATTTCCTACATTGCAATAGTGATGACTTTTTTGAGTACTTTCAATGATCTCCAGGTATCACACAAATGCAAATCTTTTCACTTTGTTCTTCAGGTTAATATCTATTGTGAATTACACTCCTGGTGATGGACCTGGATGTTAAATATGACTCATTGGTTTCTTTTTTAAAAAAACTCTTTCTCTTTTTAGGGTAATCTTTGTAAAAATGTGCAGTAAATGTACACTTATATAGTGCATTAAACTTAATGTTTCATCACAATCGAGTTACTATAAGGACCAGGGAGATAATGAATGTTTCCCTATTAGGAACTTTTTTTAAAGCTACTGGTAACTATTTTACACATTAGCATTGGTACCTGTCCCAAACATTTCGTTTGGTTAGATTAAAATAAATGGCAGGTTGTCTTCTGTCACTTTTGTTATGACAACCAAGGGTGAAAATGTGTTATGTGGAAAAGAGTGCAAATGAGCTTGCATTCTGACTTTAGCCCAGGTATTGGAGCTGGGACGCTGTTGCCCTATTCCACAGTTTGTTATTGTTTGTATGTGAATTTGTACCTGGGCATTTATTTTTAAAAAGATCTTGTGTGAAAAGACTTGCTGTTTTGAACAAAATTTTTAAAGCAACATCCTACCCATTTACTTATGTAACTCTTTTGGTGCAGAAGTGCTGTGTTTGGTTATTGCTATGCAATGACAGAATTAATTTGTAATACAAAATTAGGCAATTTGGAATTCATAGGGATGTGAAAGTAAAACTTGTGTAGTTATGGACACTGCAAGGAAAGGGCCTGTGGAAATGCTAACTGTCAAGATATAACAATGTGCTGACTGTAGGAACAGGTATTGGAAAGAATAGCCAAAAGTACAAAGATTGGAAGAATTTAGAGAGGAACAAATCTTTGAGGTGATTTTGAAGAGTAGGATGCAAATTAAAATTTTCAGGTGTTTGTGGGACATGTAACAGGCAAGATGTTCACTGTTTTATGGACTGAGGTTTATTGAAAGTGAAACACAGGAGTTTGGCCAGGAGATGATTTTATAATATTAGAATCTGGAGGTGATTAAGGCCTGACTGGGGGTTTCAGCAGAGAACAAGTAGAGGTGGTCATTGTTAGTAAGATGCAATTGGGTAGCTTTGTGATGTTGAGAATATGGGGTCAGAAAATCAGCTCCTATTCGTCGGGCACCAAGCATGAAACCATTTGGTTTAGTCTGAAGTGGAGACTGATTTGTTGGCAAAGATGCTGTGTTTGTATTGAGGGACTAAGACTACCATTTTGACCTGGTGAAAATGGTAGCTCATGGCAGACATAATATCACAAGCAGGTTGACAACATGGGAACAGTGATGGGGTGAAGAAGGGTCAAGAGGAAAAGCTGTGTACACTTGGAATCTAATTCTGCATGTTTTTGGATTATCAAAGGGCAGCAGACATATAAGGGGCAAGAGAGAGAGCTAAGGACAGATTCACAGGGAATTACAGGTTGCAATGTCGGCTTTAAGAATTTGGTGTTTTTTTTTATTATTTAACCTATTTTTCTAATCAACCTGTTTTAGAGATTTTATTACACACCTCTGGAACAGGTGGGACTTGAACCCATGCCTCCTGGACCAGTGTAGGGATACTATCTCTGTGCCACAAGAGGACCTAAGCTTTGGTTATTATGGGATCGTTAAGTGTGGGATCAGGTGAGTGTAGTATTAAAGTTGAAAAATGATAGAAAAACACTTGTTGGAGACAGTATGTCAAACACAAAGACTGCACTGAGGTTTAGGAAATACGAAGCACGTTTGTGAAGACTTTTTCTCGTGAATTTGCTTTAGGCTGATTTTAGTGTTTATAGATGAGGGGTTTAAATCTGAGATTCAAATAAGAAATTGCTTCAACATAGTTGTCTGCTCACTTACCATATGCCACACTGTCTTTCATTTACGTTACTCTTTAGGACATGGTGTATCTTGATGTGCTGGACTCTGTCAACACTGGAAACTCAGGGAACAATTTCTGAGATTAGATGCCTGATGAAATGTCCACAACACCACAAGAGAAACAAGGATGCAGATTTTCTTGGGATTGTGAGCCAGTTTTACAATGGAGTTGCAATGAATGAAGGAGATTCTTACACTATTCACTGTCTGTACAACATTTAACAATCCTGTCTCAGCCTTCTCTCTCTCAATTGCGTAATTGACCATTCCATGGAACAAACTTGATAATGGGTTGATCTCGACTCCAAGAAGATGTAATGGCTAAATAATATGGATCAAGTTTCAAATGAGATTTAATTTCGAAGAACAAAAACCCAAAATACTTGTGCTTTGAAATATAAATAAAAATAACTTTTCAAAACTTTTCAAAACAATCTTCCCTTTTAATCAATTATTGTTCTATCCAGGAAAAATCCTTTGAAATATGTTGGGCTTATAATTGACTGTATTGAAATTTTTGAAGGATTTTAATTCAAGGTATTAATTAGAACTTTTTTTTTCTCTGTTCATCCTGATGCTACAGTTGGGAGAATCCATAGCCTGGTGAGTATGAGGCACATTGTGCAGAAAAGTTCAAAGTATACACTTAATGGTAAGAACCTGGCAAGTGTAGCTGAACCAAGAGACCTTGGAGTACAGGTTCATAGATCCTTGAAAGCGGAGTCACAGATAGACAAGGATAGTGAAGAAGGTGTTTGGTACCCTTTCCTTTTTCGTTCAGTGCATTGAGTATAGGAGTTTAGATGTCATGTTGCAGCTGTGCAGGACATTGGTCAGACCACTTTTGGAATACTATGTGCAAATCTGGTCTCCCTGCTATAAGAAAGATGTTGTGAAACTTGAAAGGGTGCAGAAAAAGTTTACAAGTATGTTGCCAAGATTGGAGGGTTTGAGCTATAGGGAGAGGCTGAATAGGTTGGGGCTATTTTCCCTGGAGTGTCGAAAGTGGCCTTTTTTATAGAGATTTATAAAATTATGAGGGGCATGGACAGGGTGAGTAGCCAAGGTCTTTTCTCCCCAGGGTGAAGGAGCCCAAAACTAGAGGGGATAGGTTTAAGGTGACAGGGGAAAGGTTTAAAGGGGACGCAAGGGACAACTTTTTCATGCAGAGGGTGGTGTGTGTCTGGAACTAGCTAGCAGAGGAAGTGATGCTGGCTGGTGCAATTACAACATTTAAAAGGCAGTTGGATGGGTATATGAATAGGAAGGGTTTAAAGGGATGTGGGCCAAATGCTGGCAAACAGGACTAAATTAATTTAGGATATCTGGTCTGCATAGATGAGTTGGACCAAATGGCCTGTTTCCATGCTGTACAGCTGTGACTCTGATTCTGTGTGTTCCTTGATCTATGGAGAATATGCTAATCTTCACTGATATGGTGATAGAGGTTGCTCTGCCCTGTGCTTGCAGTGAGAAAAGACCAATCCTACAAGGTCCCTCCTCTTGATTCTCTAATTTGGTGATTTCATGATGGATGATTCATGCTGTACAATGTCTGGGGGATAATGAGGTGGGGCTTGTAGTGTACTTAGTATGATACACACACACACCTACTATCATAAGTAAAGAGTAGAAACTAGTGTGGTACCTGAACACCATTAGTTTCCATAGAATTGGCCCAGCAATTCCCTTTTTGGGGAACAGTAAATTGACGTACACATCAAGGGACATTGTCTGCATGAGTTGGTAATACTTAAGTTACAGGCCTACTCAATCTAACTTGGTAATTGAATTTACAGTAGTAAATTGTTACTAAATGATGTGATTTCATGGAATGTTATTTAAACAATGGTATAAAAGGTGTTACAGATATCTGATTGTCACCCCATTTTTTTTAATAAATAGTCTCACCCACAATAGTGCTATTGAGTATCCAGAAGTGAGTTGGTAGGATGTTATTTGATCTCTGGATCCTGACCTCTTCACAATTGGAGAAAACTCAGCTTGAAAATTTCATGAATTTTACATGATGCTGATTAATGCTATCTTGGGTGGTATGTCAGTTCCAGTA